ACGCCAAACCGACCGAGCCATCTAGGGGCCCCTACAATGCACACAGCTTAAATCGAAGAAATTCTCCCATGAGTAGTGCTGAGTCTTTTCCATCCGATACTTAAAGACACCTGCAAGGAATTTCTGAACTGGACTGGATGAAGGAAAACTTCCCTGCTTTTTCTAAGATTTTATGAATCACATAGGAATCATAAGATTTTGTCACTTCTCATAGGAAGTGATGTAGAGTTCTGTGTGTTTATAGTAAGTGACGCCTATTTTGTCTCCCCTTGCGTACTCTGAATCCCTTCAGTCACATTCCTGCTTTACTTTCTGAAGTATGAACTTGTACCTTAGTGGTCGTGATCACATGAACATAATTGTTTACTTACGATCATCTCTAGCTTTAGACTGAGAAACTCGAACAGAATTCCCTGGGTCTTTTGGACTAGGAGACCTCAATCCTAAATCTCATTTAGTTGCCCCTGTCTTGTCATCCTTGGCCCATCTTGGGGGCAAGGTGTGTGTTTCTGTGTTAATCTTAAGGGAGAAAGGGAAAAAGGCTTCTTCGGGCCTTTTTACGATGGGAACAGGGTCTCAGTTCTGCATTTTTTTCTCCTTCCATGCCAGCACTGCCTCAGGGTGGCTGGGGAAGTGGCAGGAACAGGGCCAGGAAATGCCCTTTTTTTGACGCTGAAAATGGATTCTGAGGTGTCCTTCCCTAGGTGTGGCGGCTGTGAGTTCTCTGTTCCTCTAGGCAAGTCCCTCCCATAGTGTCTCCCACTCCTTAGGAAGCTTTCTCTACTCTTTCTGGGTGACGTTTGGTAAGAGGATTGAGCAAGTACACTGCAGGGCCCGTAGGCAATCTAAGTGTAGTAATTAGAGGGACAGGCCCTGGACAGGCTCTGACGCTTCCCATGGACTGGTCCCTTATCTAGTGGAACCATACTTTCCTTATCTGGAAGATGCAGATAACAATACATATGTCACAGGGTTGTTAGGAGGATTATTTGGCCTATATATAAAAAGAGGCTTCCAAGCACAGGAAAATACTCGGTTCTAGTTTTTGATGTTAGTGTTCGTGGCTGTGTTTCTCACTCCTAGGTGGCATGTTCTGGTTTACAGGAGACTTTCTGCCTTTCTCATGATTCGGGATCCCCTAACTGTCCGAATGACCAGTTCTTCTGGGCTAGTGCTCACCTGTGTTTTCAGAGTGGTCAAGTTCTATGATGGATCTGCATTTTGTAATAAGGATGTTCTCTTAATAGTGCGGTCAAGAATGTCCTCATTCAGTTAGGAATACTTTGCTTTTATTGTAACTTAGTACAACCTCTATTTGGTCTTTGAAGTATATCTTCTGGTCATCTTTATTTTACATCTTCTGTAGTTTTTCTTAAAGAAGTGATCACATTTGACAGGATATATATGCATTTTATTTATCTTAAATTTTGTTATATTTGATATTATGGGATAAGTGGTTATATTTTGTTCCCTTAAAAAGTGTCAGAAATGTTCAGGCAATTCTGTGGCACCTCATTCACATACACATAGGCATGCATAAATAATCCAAATTAGTTCTGATTCTCGAGTACGAAAGTATATTTCAACAAACTGGAAAAATGCACAGATTACAAAAGCAGTGCATGATCTATCCAAAAATTAGTAAGTTAGAGATTAACCAAAGGTGAAAATCAAAATCCTCTGTAATTCTACTGTCTAGAGGGGGATCCCTGCGTGGGGCAGTGGTTTGGCGCCTGCCTTTGGCCCAGGGTGCGATCCTGGAGACCCGGGATCGAATCCCACATCGGGCTCCCGGTGCATGGGGCCTGCTTCTCCCTCTGCCTATGTCTCTGCCTCTCTCTCTCTCTGTGACTATCATAAAAAAAATAGTTATTTAAAAAAATTCTACTGTCTAGAGATAACCAATTGAAATACTGATACACACCTTAGTCTTTTTTCTACACGTGCACAAAATTATGTATTTGGGTTTGGTTTTCCTTTTTTTTATAAGACTAGGATCACTCAGTTGATACAGTTTAGTAACTTGCTTTTTAAAAAGTTAACAGTGAATCACAAACATTAATGTTTACATATTTTTCCATTACACAAAATTACCATAATTTATCTTTTGTTGGATACTTAGAGTGTCCTGAATTTTCGAGACTATACCATAATCAGTAATATACTAAAAAGTATATTAATGTACTTCTCCTAGTAGAGTATGTAGTATCCTTGCACAGTTGGTGACCACACTGCTGTTTTCAGGGAGAAAGAAGTATGGGAGGAGTGCATGCCATGTAACTCAGGTGTTTTTAATTTTCATGTCTCTAAACCAGGCCCAGCTGTTCCAGCCAATTACACGAAGCATCTTTGTTCCCAACTATACAGAGCAGGTTCTAGGCTGGGCTCTGAGGTTCCTAGAAACATATATAGTCATTAATAGGAAATACATTCATTTAATACTCACAAGGCAAGAGAAATACTTACTCATTCATACTTGAACCAATCACCAACCCTCCTCCCCCCAAACCCCAGCAAGAAGATTGTAAATACCATGAGGACAGGCACATGTCTCCTTTGTTTGCCTTTGTAGCCACAGTGTTTAGCACATTGCTGAGCACATAGCAAATAATCAATATATATTTGATGAGTAAAGAAAACTATAAAATGAAAATATCTCAGTCCAATTGCCCATTGGGTCTTGGCTCTGCTTTCTTCTCCCTCCTCTTTCTTTCTCTTTCTTTCTTTCTTTCTTTCTTTCTTTCTTTCTTTCTTTCTTTCTTTCTTTCTTTCTTTCTTTCTTCTTTCTTTCTTTCTTTCTTTCTTTTTTTTCTTTTCTTTCTTCTTTTCTTTCTTCTTTCTTTTTAAAGATTTTATTTATTTGACAGAGAAAGAGAAAACAAGCAGGGGAAGTCAGAGGGAGAGGGAAAAGCAGGCTCCCCACTGAGCAGAGGGCCCAATGTGGGGCTCTATCCCAGGACTCTGGGATCATGACCTGAGCCAAAGGCAGATGCTTAACCAACTGAGTCACCCAGGTGCCCCCGCTCTGCTTTCTTCTAAGAGAAATTGGGCCCATATAGGTTTTCTTATTCTATCCTAATGGTTAACGTGGGGAACAGTGACATAAGAGTCTATACCTGACCCAGGTACTATTGGGTGAGGATTAGGATTTTTTTGTGTGTGTTGATACTTGGTTGGCCTTATTTAGCTACAGAATGTTTAGGGCTACAGTTTGATTCTCCTAGGAAATGAATCCTGAGGCAAAGAACCATTTCCCAAGGAATTTGTAAGATCCTGTTCTTTTGAGTGACAAGAAACCACTTTGGAATCCTTTACTAACGGATGGATTAAAACTTTCAGAGATATTTTAAGCCTCAAAATATTAGACCATTATAATGGATGATCAGTTGTTTCTCTGATGACTAGTTCCTGTGCTTCTAGAGATAGCCTCAGTGAATAGAAAACCATACAATTTAATTCCAACTCTTACTGAGTACATCCTAGGTGTCAGTTTTTGAACTGGGTACTAGGGGATAAAAAGGGAAAAAGAAGAGGTGCATATAGATATAGAAATGAATGCATAATTATCATACAGTGTGGTAAGTGATACAACTGGCTATGGACAGGGGGGCTCTGAAAGAACAGAGGGGGAGTAACTTGCTAATTCAACTTGGTAAAGTTGGAGAAAGTTTCATGGAGATGAACCCATTTTTACTAGGGTGGATAGGAGTTTATCAGACAGGAAGGGGGAGTGGGAGTACAAAATAAAGTCCCATAAGCCACAGCTCAGAAGAGCGTGGTGCATCTGGGACAGGTGAGGCCTTCACAGCAAATTGGACAATAAGGTATTTGCAGGAGAGATGAGATTGTAGCTGACTTTAGATATATCATCAAGGAACCAGCTAGGGAGTTTGTACTTTGTTGTGTGGACAATGAAGATTTTGATAAGGGACATTTATCCTTCAACCACTAATATCATCAAAGCCAAATTAAGACATTTCCTTCTGATAATGGTCCATTAAGAAGACAAGAAAAACGTTTCTTTTCATTTGGGTTTTAGGCTTCGTTACATCCTCTCTTAATGCTGGTGGCATAATGGTCCCACAGTCCTTATGGTCCAGTGATTCTTAATTTTTAAGTTTCACTTTTTATTCATTTATGTCTTATTTGTGTTTACAGCCAAGGTGTTTTCAAAGCCTTCGTGTTTATTATGCAGTTGTTGATTTGGAAGTCAAAACTGGTCTCAGTGATTAGACCAGTTCTAACATATAGCTGGGGCCATTTATGGGACTTATTCCACAAAATGATGTCTTTAACCTCATGAATGGTGAGAAAATAGATACAGGGGACCAAATCTACATTGTTATTGTTAACTCAATGGTAGTATAGACGGGAGTCATTTCCTTCAAAACCCTTACAAAATTCCATTACATTTTTGGAATATTTTAGCCAAGTTAAGGCTAGGGTGAAGGATACAGAGAAGGGAATATGAGATAAGAAGAAATTGGTATTGTAGTTACCAAGCAGAAAATTCTAAAAGTAACATTCCAGAACACTAACATTTCCATGTGCAAATTGTATCTGAATTCATTCTAAAAAATCTCATATCTATAGTTGATCTGTACTTTAATTTTACATAAATAAACTTTAGGTTTTTTTTTTTTTCATTGAAACATACAAATGTGTGTTGGCTTTGAACTTAACTATTCCCAGAAGTAAGAAAAGATCAGTTACTGGTAGCAATGTTTGTTCTCCCTTGGGTCATTCTATTTGTGCACATTTGACTTGCCATATAAGTTATCATTTTTATAGTTCTAATGTCAATTTGAACTCAAAGGATCCAGATATCTACATCAATGTTTCTGCTACTCTTCATTTCTTTTTGTCAGTATTTTGGAAAATAACACCATTTTGTGGAAAGTGAAATGGATGCCGTGTAGCCTTGCTAGTTCAGTTAAACAACTATAGGACCAAGAAAATAGCTGTATCAATGGATTTTTGTTGTTTTGTTTGTTTTGCAGGTGACAATGGCCAACATTGGAATAAATGGAGATCATTCTCTGGAGACCTGTAAAACAACACTTTTTGCTCTCCGAATGGCAACGTGGAATCAAATCTTAGATCCTTGGGTGTACATTCTGCTGCGGAAGGCGGTCCTTAAGAATCTCTACAAACTTGCCAGACGCTGCTGTGGAGTGCATGTCATCAGCTTGCATGGGTGGGAGCTTAGCTCCATTAAAAATTCTCTAAAGGTTGCTGCTATTTCTGAGTCTCCAGTTACAGAGAAAATAAATCAGCAAGCACCTGGTTTAATAGGACAGTAAAGCAGTGTAGGTCTAGGGCAAAATTCAGAAAAGATTTGTCAATATTTCAGTTAATTGGATAGAGATAGAAAGCCAAACTGGAAAATTCAGACCTCAGCAGTTAGTGTGGGGCCACTTTTGTCAGATCTGGCTGTTGAGATTTGCTAAATTCACTGTACAACTGTATCTTTTCACTTGTTTTTTTGTCAACTGGAGGTAAACATGATGAGATAATGCCATGGAGTCCAACTGAAAAAAATTGGAGCTTATTTGTGTTATTCGCGCTTTTGAATGAATGAAGCCTAAAGCATTTACTTGGCCTATTTGTCAAAGAACATCTTAATACTTACCTGCACAGTCAAATAGCTGTTTGGGGGTCACTGCTCTGCAACTGTTCCTTATAAACGAGGTTCAATGAAGTGGAGCACCCTCACTGTTGGGTCTGGTCTGTTATACTCCTCATTATGTAGCTTCAATCAGTAGATGTAGGGTCATGTCTCATGGGATTCACTGTGGCTTGTTATAATGACCTCCATGACACCAAATGTGGCTGTCAGGTTGCCTGACCTCACGAGCCTCTTTAAAATGAGCCTGTCCTTGTCATTTTGACAAATAAAACTGCTTGCATGTATTATTGTGAAGGTAAATTCTTGTTTGAAGGTTTTCTGTGTGAGTCGTAGATTTGCACAGTTTTCAAATAATCTCCTTTTCCTGTGAAAATTCTAGTGCGCAGTAAATAATTTTTGGAGAAACACAGGCTCTATTTCAGCACATATATAGGCTATTTGCATTATAGCAGTTCCTATGAAGCTCTGCCATGGATAATACAAACCGAACTTAAACCCCAGGGATGGTTACAAAGAATGTTGGCAAAGGACCTCTACTTGGACTTGTCATTTCTGTATCAGAGAACAAAAGAAACATAATCCATATGCAATATTTAAAAACTATCTGCAGCTAGTGTGTTTGTGCTTTCTATGCATGCACACACACATACATAAGCATATCAAAAATTTCTTTTGAAAGCTGGTTCATTAAATCTGTAGGATGGCATCTTCTAAAGCCTATGCTATCTGTGTCAAGGGGAAAATTGGCAATTAGTTGGGCACTTGGAGATCATTCTTATGGTTACCCAAGAGATCAGGGGATAAAGATCTCTCCTCAAATTTCCCAGTAACACTTTCGGCTTCTTTGCTTATTTGTATAATTCACCCCCTCCCCTAAATTTTAGTAATCATTGAAAATGTCCTGGGGCTATCAGAACATAGGGTAGATAGTTCTGCTTCATAGTAAAGAAATGTATTTCTGTAAAAGAATTTTTTGCCTTCCTTACCTGTGGTCCATTTAAAAATTAACCTTCTCTGTGAGACTGAGTTCATATTCTCCGGGAAATCTATGTGGTTCAACTAGACTTAAATTATTATATCCACAAATTCTTGCTTTTGACTGGTAATTTACATTGGAAGTTGTTGAACTTCAGTGAATTTTGGTATATTCTTATGAATAAACTAAAAGAAATTAAGCAAATAGCTTCATTGAAGATGTAAAGGAAACCACTTTTTCCAGTGAATTTAAAAACAAGATACATGCACACACACAGAGGCACACAGTATTCTTTTTTTTTTGGCACATGATATTCTTAATTTAAGACCAGTAAATGATGAATTACACAAAGTTTGGTTATTCTCATATATGGAACACATAGTATATGCTCAAAGAACACTTGCCAAATTGAATTACAGGTAAGAATATTTTTGATGCAAAATGAACATGGGATTGCAACAATTTTGTGCATTTTTATTTAAAATGACAATCACATATTGATTATTTTGATATATATGTGTGTGTGTATATGTATACTTGAATATCCAGTGTAGACACTTTAAAAAAAAGCCATTGCAATTTGTGATTGCTGTTACATTACATGAATGTTCTCATGTGTTACAAGAGCACTTAAAGCCCAGAAATTATAGATGGTTTTGAGGAGACATTTATTTCCCACAGTTAAGAGTGTTGGTGTCCTGGAAGCTGAGGCACAAGGAACCACAGCTTCATCCTTCCTCCTCATGCTGGATAGGATGCTACAGCAAACACTTCCATGTATTGTGACCCAGGAGAGGCGTGCAGAGAAACTCTCGTTCAGGGTTCCAGGCCTCTTCTCCGTAAGGCTTCTAAGTAGATGGCATCACGGTTGCTCTATTGCTGTGATGTCACCTAGGCCATGTGTATCTATATTGAGGAGCTACTGTGACATTACCATATATGGGAGTGCACGGGTGTGTAAGGTGTTAGGGAATGACAGAGAGTCACTCTCTGCATATCCTGGAAGGATTATCTTTATTAGCTGAGTACAGGTGTAGGGTAATGAAGTTGGTTTTAGAATGAGGTCAAACTCGAGTAGTAGACACTAAAAACTGAAAAAAAAATGTAGTAAAAGAATATGTGTTGACATTGTGTTAGGCCTTTTGTCCAAGGAAAATGAAATAAAGTGAACACAACAATATGCATATATTTGACTTCAGAATTTTATTTCTATTATTATATATATTTCACTGTAGTTTGGCATCTTATTATATGTTGAATAATAGAATGTAGCATCCATCAACAACTTTCATGTGAGCATTTCAAGTGAAAGTACATTTGTGCAGTTACTGGAAAGAAATTGTACAAATAGTGTTCAGCAGGTTAACCAATTCTGAAACTTTAAGCTGTTTTAAAATTTATAATTAGACCCTCAGCGCAACTGAAATTCCCTTCTCACTGGGTAAAGTAGTATCTAAGCAACTTCACATACTATTTGATCATGTTATTCCTGGGGAATTTTATTATTCGGGGCAAATGACTGGCAAGTGACAGGTTTTTTTCTTTTGTTAGTGAATTTAAAAATGACAGAAAAAGCCAATGGCATATGGTTTTTATGATCATGGATACCAAGACAGATAATGCGGACTCATAGTTAGTTTGTAGGTGCATCCCACTGCATCCCACTTGTCAATGAGGATTTAAGTAAGTGACAGAAATAGTCCAATTTTTTCCCCAAGGGTTGAATGTTGCTAATTTGTATTGCTGAAGTGCAAAATACCTAAAAGTTAACATGTACACACACACACACAGAAATATATCTGTCTTATTCAATAAATGGTCTTTTTTGTGCACTTTCAGTCTTTAAAAGAAAAACCTGTCTTACTTTTGCTCTAATCTGAATTTAGAGCCCAGATAAAAGCACTTGCTAAAACAACTTTTTGTGAAACTTCTGCTAACTTCACCTATATTACCATCATTGCTCCAAATTAATAAACTAAGGTCAGGATATGAAAGATGGGAATGTACATCTTCTTACTTCTTCATTTGGATGTCAGAATATTTTACCATGTGGCAAATAATGTTGGACTTCAACTTGTTACTGAGGTATTTCAACAGTAGATGTTATGTGAATAAATGTATTTTGTGTCCTTCGTACTTGCTGGACTATATGAGATTGAACAGTAATATGTATATTTTGTTGCTTGTATTAGTGTGCAACTCATGTAATTTTAGTGTTTTGACTATTTTAAAACTTCAAACAAATGATTTATAATAAACTTGGACTAGTGTTTATCAAGAGTGGCTATTTTTAGGAAGGTCATATGAAGCTTGAAACTTTTGAACCTAAACTTCCATTTTATCTATTCAATGAGAAGAATTTCAAATTCTTTTTATTACCTTTTTTTTTGTGGTCCACCTAGGCAGGGTCATAGATTTGGATGAGAATCTGATAATTTTCAAAACACGCTGGCCTAGGCATGTCAGGATAGCAGAGAAATGTCTGTGATAACAAATGACCCCCAAAAAATCTTTGTGCCATAACCCTCAAAGATTTATATCTCACCTATGGCTCCTGCCCACTCAGAAGGGAAGCTCTGTTCATTTTAATCACTCAGAGACCTTAGGTGACAAAGCAGCCACCATCTTATATGTTGCTGTTTGCCTTGCTTCAGGGAAGAAAAACATATTGAACCATGAACTGGCTCTTGGAGCTTTCACCTAGAGGTAACACCTGTTACTTTTGCTCACACATTTCTGGCCAAAGCCAGTGATCACGCTACTACCTTCAAGGAAGCAAGTTAGTGCAATACTATGATGTGGCCTGGAGGGGAACCGAAAATAAGTGGTGGAAAGCATGAATGATTTCCATCTCAGGTCACATTTTCCATTCTTGCCATTCTAATATATTTCAAACTAGAACTTTTTAAAAAGGTCATCTATTTAAGAAAATCATGGAATGAAAGCATTTAGGATTCATTCTTCCAAGTAGCTTGTAATCTATAAAGATAAGGTGGAATGAATGCCATATTTGTGGTTTGCAATAAATGGAAATTTTATTTTATTTTAAAGATTTTACTTATTTGAGGGGGGGGGTGAGCAGGAGAGAGTGCATGAATGGGGCAGAGAGAGAGGGAGAAGCAGACTCTGCTGAGCAGGGAGCCTGATTCAGGACTCAATCCCGGGACCCTGAGATCATGATGTGAGCTGAAGGCAGGTGCTTAACCGACTGAGCCATCTGGGTGCCCCAATAAAAATTTTAGAAGATAAAAAACCACTATAGAATAAAATAGTGGAAAAAAGATTTTTTTTTTTAATTTGAGAGAGAGCAAGAACATGTGCACACAAGAGTTGGGGGGTTGAGGTGAGAGGGACAGAGGGAGAGAATCTCAAGCAGATTGCTCCCAGCCAGAGCCCACAGAGCCCTCGATCTCACAACCTTGAGATCATGACCTGAGTTGAAACCAAGAGTTGGGGATCCCTGGGTGGCGCAGCGGTTTGGCGCCTACCTTTGGTTCAGGGCGCGATCCTGGAGACCCGGGATCGAATCCCATATTGGGCTTCCAGTGCATGGAGCCTGCTTCTCCCTCTGCCTATGTCTCTGACTCTCTCTCTCTCTGTGTGACTATCATAAATAGATAAATTTTAAAAAAATAAAAAAAAAGAAACCAAGAGTTGGATGCTTAACTGACTGTGCCCCCCAGGGACCCTAAAATACCATTTTCTATATATCCTTATTCATAGCAAAGTAGAGGCAGGATTGCTAAAATTTAAAGGAACTGTATTTTGGATTTGAAGTGTACTTCACATCTCCACTTACAAAAGCATGTAAACTCTTACAGTTTTGTATTTAGTAACATTTGAATTCTTTTTTAATATCTGATTGGTAAAACCCCAAATTAACAAAATGCCTTCTGGTGCTGTAGTGCTAACTTTCCCACCTTAAATAAGGCAATCCTATGCTAGTATACACCTAAATCATTTTAGTTGAGAAAAAAAATGAGATTCTACTAGACATACATACAATGCATACATGTGTTGTAAAACTTTTGTTTTTCAAGAACCCGTGTTGGTACATGCAGAGTATTCTTTTTTTTTTTTAAGAAAAAAATTTGTTATTTATTCATGAGAGACAGAGAGAGGAGAGAGGCAGAGACACAGGCAGAGGGAGAAGTAGGCTCCATGCAGGGAGCCCGATGTGAGACTCGATCCTGGGACTCCAGGATCACGCCCCGACCCGAAGGCAGATGCTTAACCGCTGAGCTACCCAGGCGTCCCCAGAGTATTCTTTTTAGCAACTAAATACTCTTACCTAATACAAGTGTACTATAATTTAAATGACAATTTTCCTATTGAAGGAGGATTGTTTTTGTTTTCAGTCATTTCCCTCTTTCCAATTAGGCTGTTTCAATAGGCATATCCTTGTCCTTTTTTGTGTTCTGTGGGATTGCAGGGCTACAGGCGTGCACATTTTCAATATCCAGAGAAACTGCCACATTGTGACCTGTGTACTCTCATTCTTTTCTTAAGAAAAGGCTCTATTTCTGACACTACCTGCTGTTTATTTCAGCAATCTTTTTATTGTCACCCGTGTGATTGACAAAAATAAATCATACTTCATGCTTTGTTATGTTACTCGTACTTCCCATTGCTAATGAAGCTGAGCATCTTTTCATACCTTTATTAGTCATTTCCACTTCCTCTGTAAATTTTCTGTTCCTGACCTTTATCTATTTTTAATGTCAATTTTTTTCTTACCGACTTGCAGGAGGATTGTGTGTATTAAGGATATTGTCTTAGTCAGCTTGGGCTGCTATCACAAAATACCACGGACCGGGTGCATAAGCAAGAGAAATTGATTCCTCACAGTTCTGGAGGCTGAGAAGTCCAAGCCAATTAGGTACCTGATGAGAGCTCTCTTCCTAACCATCTTCTTGCAGTTTCCTTACATGGTGGTGGTAGGGGGGAGATAGCAGGGGGGGGGGTGTAGAGGAGAGAGGAGGGAGGAGGGAGGAGGGAGGAGAGAGAGAGAGAGAGAGAGAGAGAGAGAGAGAGAGAGAGAGAGAGATATCTCTGGTCCCAAAGGCACAAATCTCATGAAGATCCCACCCCTCATGACCTCATCTAAACCTAGTTACCTCCCAAAGGTCCTATCTTCAAAGACCATCACACTGAGGAATAGGGCTTAAACACATAAATTTTGAGAGGGGACACAATTCAGTCCATACCAGACTTTATTTTTCATGAATGTTTCAAATATTTTTCTCCCAAGGCTGCCATTTTTTTCTGCGTTGAAGATATCTTTCACCATACTAGAGTTTTATATTTTTTTACTTAGGCGACACTAACCTTTCATGGATTCTTTGTTTTGTTTCATGTTTAGAAAGACTTTCTGTTCTCAAAGATTATGAATATATTCCCCTATGTCATTTTCTACAGTTAGAATTTTTTTTATCTTTAGATTTTGTATTTTTATGGAATTTATTTATTTTTTGTGCCATATAAGTTGGAACCTAACTTTTTTTTTTAATGCCAAATGTATAACCAATAGACCCAACATCATGACGAAATTTTAGAAAAAATATTTTCAGTTCTATTCTTGGAGTCTTATCTGGGGTACATTTCACTAGGTTTTTTGACCTGGGCTCTATTACTAATTCAGGTCTAGACCACACAATAATGAAAGTAATACTACCCTTAGGATTCAACAATGACCCTAAGACCTATCATCAGTAGGACATGGGCTTTGAATTGCTTTTTTTAATAAAGAAATTTTATGTGTAGGCCACATAATTTTATGTAATGCTATTTCCCTTTTTACCAGACGTCTGCTGTGACCAACAGTTTCCAGATGGCTACGTGTGTTAATTAGGAGGTGTATTAGTGTGCTAGGGCTGCTGCTACGAAGTACCACAGACTGGGTGGCTTAAAAAACAGAGATGTATTTCCTCACAATTCTGGAGGCTATAAATCTGAGATGAAGATGTTGGTAAGGTTGATTTCTCCTGAGGCCTGTCTCCCTGTCTTGGAGGTGGCTGTCTTCTCCTTGTGTCTTCACATGGCCTTTCGTCAGTACCTAATCTCCTCTTCTTATAAGGACACCAGACATATTGGACGAGGGGTCTCCTTAGTGACCTCATTTAACCTCTTTAATTGGTCTTTTAGAAGCCCTATCTCTAAATCCAGTAGCCTTCAGTGGAACTGGGAGATTAGGACTTGAATATATTAATTTTGGAGGGACACAATACAGCCCTAACAAGAGTGTAGTCTGAGATATTGAGATAAAGTTACAGTAACTGGCCCACGCAGGGATTGAGCTTGTTATTACAGGTATATTATGCAGTGGCTCTCAAATATTAGTATGTATTTGTTTTACATGAAAGACTTGCTAAATGAGATTGCTGGGCTCCACCCCAGTGACTGATTCAGTCAGTCTTAAGGGCCAGAAGATTTATATTTCTAACAAGGTCTCAGGGAAGGTCCCAGGCACTGCTGATCTGAAGGACACACTTTGAGAACCTCTGACTTAATCAACTATGCTAACCAGTCACAGATGGCTTGATATGAAACACACAAAGAACAGGGAAGCTTTTTGGCAATGAGAGATTATAACATTATTTTATTTTATTTTTATTTTTATTTTTTAATATTTTATTTATTCATGAGAGATACAGAGAGAGAGAGAAGCAGAGACACAGGCAGAGGGAGAAGCAGGCTCCATGCAGGGAGCCCAATGTGGGACTCGATCCCGGAACTCCAGGATCATGCCCTGAGCCGAAGGCAGATGCTCAATCACTGAGCCACCCACGCATCCCTGTAGCACTATTTTAGTGCTAGCAACTTGGTTTCTTTTCTAAGGACAGTTTTTGCTCCAACCTGAAACAAATTGGGCCTAAAAAAATGTCAGAGCTATGCAGGAAGAAGATAGAAGAATGCAGGATGCTACAGATTGACAGTAAGAGTCACGTTGAAAAAGACAAAGCAAACCTAAGTGAGTCCATAGTTAGGCTGGTCATATATCTCTTATTGGTGTCAGGAAGACTTTTGCTGTCATATATATAGACAAATTCCCATAGTAGTCTGGAAATATAGCTTACATTTTATCATTAAACAAAAACCTCTTTTTTTTTTTTAAGAAAAAGAGCAAGGCTATTTGCATTAATTTTATGTTTTCTTCCCTTCCTCTTCCAATGTTTATAATCTTCTTTGATCTTTATATTTTCCACTCTTATTTGAGCCCGGTTGGTCTTAAAATAATTTCCTACTTCAGGGGAATAAATCTTGAGTCAGTTGCTGGCTTTCAAGAGGAAAGGGGAAGATTGAAACTTTTTCAGTTTCCAAATAAAACACAATACTTATACTTTTGGGACAAGTAGATTTTTATAGTGGACTATACTCAGAACAATTAAAATGACAGTAGAGAATAAATGGACCCAAACTAAGTAAAAAATACTTGAGCTGAAAAAATCTCATTCTAAAGACATTA